ATCTAAAAAAAAAAGTAAAATTTAAAACATATATATATATATATATATATATATATATATATATATATATATATATATATATATATATATATATATATATATATATATATATATATATATATATACATATCATTACAACCTAATACAGACCAGTGTATAAAGTTTACATTAGAAGAATACCCACAATTCTATCTATGTAAAATAAGCCCGTTATATAATACTAACATATATATGTGTTAAGTTTTACAAAACTTGAAGCTTATAAAGTCTAAGTAAACTTAAATACTGTATTCTAAGAATACAGTATTTTAAGTTTACAAAGAAAATACAAGATTCATACAAGACTTTTATTAGAACTAAAGTTTACAAGATTATTTTTTTATATTATCATCTTTTGTCAAAGTCAAGTCGTGATGCTGGTTTTAGATTACATTGTTTTTTGTTCCTCTAGCAAGTAGTTTTTAACTTTTCCCCTTTTTTTATCTTTTACGATGAGTTTCTTTTGTTGGTTGATTTGTTAGAGGGTTTTCTTTTCTTCTGACAAACGAATTTCATTTCTGAATGGAATATCAGTCAAAATCCTTGTTTTTAACACTTAACACTACTTTTAACACTACTTTTAACACTTCTTTTTCTAGCAGATGCTTTCGGGTAAGGTTTTAAAACTTCAGGTGAGAGTAATGAAGCAATTCTTGGTGACACTTTGTTCGAAAAACTTGTTTCATGATGTACTACAGACATTTCAGGCTCCATGTCACCAACATGTGCTACAGTTATTTCAGGTTCCACAAAAATTGTGTTTACTACATTTGGAGCAGCACGATCTGTAACTGATGATGGTATATTCATAATCATTAAAAATTTCTGGATTAAATGGCTCAATGCCAGCTACTTGAAATCCTCTCTGTATATTAGATGGTGAGAAATCTTTTGTATATGGTTCGCAAACTATTGAAACAATATCATAAATGGTCATAGGTCTTGGATTTGTGACCATCCAATTATCACACGCAGCATTGTAAAACCTTTTCAATGGTCCAAAAATAGTTCTATCCAATGGTTGCAATTTATGGGTACAATGGGGAGGAAAACTTAGCATTGTAATTCCGTGTTGAATTGCAATATCCAAAGCTCTAACAGAAATATGACTTTTATGGCTGTCCAAAAGTAATAAAACTGGAGATTCATGAGAACAGTTTGAATACCTCACAAAATGTTTTATCCATTCTATAAAAATGTCTGAACTCATCCAACCAGAAGGATTTGCAAATCCCACGCATCCAGGAGGACCTTTCTTTATCGTGTAATCGTGAAATTTGACCCTAGGATAAAACAAATAGTGGAGGAATAGAGTTTTCAATTGCATTTGAAGCACAACATACAGTTACTAATGTTCCTCGTTCTGCAGATGTGATTCTTCCTACTTGTTTACTTTTTTTACCTGTAAACACTTTTACTGGCTTTTGTACTGTTATTAAACCAGTTTCATCAACATTATATATGCAATAAGGATCAAACTTATATCGATTTCTTACTGTTTTTAGATTTTGGAAAAATTCTCCAACAGTGTGTCGGTTAAGCTAGATCGAGCAAAGCTAGTTGCTTCAGGTGTTTTTAAAGACAACTCTGGTTGTCTTTTCATAAAACCTTGGAACCAATCAATACCTGCGATTTTATTCTTGATCCATGAGGAAGGGCAAATCTTAATATTTTTTACAGCAAACTCGTATGCCAATAATCGTGTTGACTTAGTTGAAAGTCCATAGTTCATTTTTGATGCAAGTAGTAAATAACTTGACAAACTTTTTTCATTTTCTGCAGTAAAAACTTGTTTAATGTTGTAATTAGGCTTAAAAGATTCATTTGGGTTGAGCTTCTTTTTATTACAATATCTTTTTAAGGTCATTCGATTTATGCTACACTTGCGAGCTACAATATTTATTGGTCTGCCCTCTAAAACTTCATTAAAAGCTGATTTCATTGTATCACATAATATAGCAACTCTGTCTGTTGTTTTTTTTTTTCTATACCAAACCATTTAAAGATCTAAAAATTTAAAAAAAAGTAAAATAAAATGATTGTTTAAAAAAAATATTTTATATAATATTATTATGTAAACTAATTGTAAAACTTATGTAAAACTAAAAACTAATGTTATTAATATTAGTTTTAAACACTATTACATTTTAAAAATGAAATTTTAAAAGTTTATTTAAAAATTTTTTATTCGTCATAAGTTTAAATGTAAAAAATTTAAACAAAAAATTTAAGTCTTATAATATAAGTTATATGGGGCACTTTGATCCTCCGATCAATGAGCCCCGCATTGTCAACGATCAATGTGCCCCATTAGGTACAGTTGATATATTGATGCCAATAACTTTTATAAATACAGTAACCAACTCAAAAAAATAATTTATTATAAACTTAACACATATGAGTTTACAATAAATTGGTTGTAAAGTCATACGGAAATCTAATTAAAAATTTATTTGAATAAGCCGTAACCAAAAACCCTTTGCACCTGTATGTATACTCCACTGCGCCTGTACCTATTTTAGTCAGTCGATGTATGGGCACTCCACTGCGCCTGTCCCTATTTTATTCAGTCGATGTATGCATACTGCGCCTGTCCCTATTTTAGTCAGTCGAAGCATAAATTACAGCCCCTGTTGCTATTTTTAATTTAAAATGAGTTTTTTTTTTTTTTTTAATTTTTAATTGTGTATAAATGTGTATAAATGTGTTTTTAATTGTGTTTAAATGTGTATCACAAATATAACTTACGTATGTTTTGCTCTACCAAAATTATTTTTTATACTCTGGTGTGGTTCGGTGTTGGTCCGGTGTGGTACGGTGTGATCCAGTGTGGTCCAGTGTGGTCCGGTGTAGCATTCGTATACACCGGAGTTCTGCAGAAGAAAAAAATCTGTTGGTGCCCATTAATGTGTTATTAGACATAATTAGCATTTTCCTAATGATTAGAAATAACTTGTTCCTTGTCAAGGAACAAGTTTTTCCTTTCTTAAACATCAAGGACCTTTTTTATTTTAGAAAAATATCATTTATATAACTTACTAAATAAGTTTTATATTGTAAAACTAAATTAGTGATACCATAAAATTAAATTAATACCTTGTCTTTTTAACTTTTTCTGAACGTCGATTCATGTAAATAAATTTTTATATAAAATTATTGAATGAGTTTTAAAAACTCTTGTTGAACAGTAACAGCGTTGAACAGCTAATTATTAAAAACTAGCAGTAAGCAACCCGTAATACGGATTAGTAGTAAATAAATCATTACTAACAATTTGATATTTATTTACTTTCTCTAATAAAATATAAATTTATTTATACAGAAAGCAACCCGTAATACGGGTTAGTAGTAAACAAATCATTATTAACAATTTGATCTTTATTTACTTTCTCTAATGAAATATAAATTTATTTATACATTTTTTAGTTGAGCTCACTTTTATTTTTCTCGGCTTCTTAGTTTAAGAGAGCTCTTAGCTTCATTAAAGATAAAGTTAACCATTTCTTTTGCAATGTTCAAACATTGAATATGCAAATCACAACCATGTAGTAGTTAAAAATGACTTGAATTATGTGCACAGAACATCGATGTCAAATTTTCAAATTCCGTAAAATTGTTTAGGTAAATATTGGGAATATATTCTACTCTTAATTTTGCTTTAAGCTGAGTCGTTTCTTTTTTTTAAAAAACTTTTCATTTTACTGAGTGAAGAGCTTAAAAATATGTCACTATCGCACCTAAACTTTTCAATGTTATTAATATACTTTTTAAATATTTTTAAACATCTAAAATATTACACCCAAACTTGTAGGCATAGAAGTTGGATATCCGAAAAAACTATAAGTTGAAATTTATATCGCAATTCCGAAAAGAGCTTAGCCCTGCATACGAATCCTATATTATTATGATAAAGATTATTATTAAACCAACCTTTTCTTTAATTAGTAATCCAGCAGATACTTGTTTATAAAAAAACAATAAAGGAATATATGGATTTACTTTAATAGCTAACGTGTATCAACATAATTATTTCAGCATACATCCAACCCATATTTATACTAATTTTATAAAATGTCCGGAATACATTTTGCCTTAACTTGGCGTTAAATTATTAGTTTTATTTCATTAATTTTTGTATAGATCAGGCTAATAATAAAAGCAATTGGATTTTACTCAATATTTTTGAAGTAATTATTTAGCTTTAATAAAGTTGATAAAATCATATAAGACAGTTAAAAAATATATTTAAACCTTTGTTCACTTTTTGAAAATCCGTAAAAAACCAAGTATCAAGTTTACATATCTTTAAAAGAACTTTATTTACATGATATATAGTTAAATATGTAACAAAAATATTTTAAAACAGAAGCATATATAAAACACATTTTTCTTGAAAAAACAAAGTTGAAGCCACCATTTACAGCACCGAGGAGCCAAGCATAGCCTATTGTAAAGAAAACCATATCAAAAAAATTTAAAATATTTATTACCGATACAGGTAGATGCACCCCAAAAACCAAGGCACCTCAAAAACAACGCGGTCAGTTAAAAGGCTCTAAAAATTTAAATATGCATTTTAAAACCATATGAGAAATTTTTTCTCATAAAGGAATGTTTCAGCAACAATTAAAACAAAAGAAATCAATATTAACAATAAAGGAGTTTTTTTTACAACCGTTTTAAACTTAAAAAGTGCTGAGAAAAATAATTGAGTTTTAAGTAATATTGCTATAAAATATTGGTTTTTTAGACTAAGTTTGCAAATCCCATCTAGTTTGCTTATCTTTTATATGCTATTTACATAAATCAAACCATTTTTATTATAAGTAGAAGGGAAACTTGTAAAAAAAAGTTTAAAAATTACATTTTAACATGTGGTTTTTGGGGTGCGCTAAGAAAAAGTTAAAAAAAAAAAGTTTATCCAGAACAAGTCTTTACAACAAATTTAAAACAAATAGTTCATTTAATAAAAAAGATTTTGAATATCACAGTTATTTCTTTCTAGCAGCTGCAGATAAAATCATTTCTGGGTTTTTTCCATTTACTTTGCAGTTTGCTTTGCTGCAAATGGACTGCATTATATTGAGGCAGGTTGGACACTGCTTTAAGCCAAAAGCTTTACATTTTATCTCCTCGCAATAGCATTGAAGCTTACATGTTATAAAGAGTCTTGTAACTTCCTCTTTCTTTTTTGCAGCATTTTCTTTTTTTTCCTTTTCTTTTTCTTTTTTTCTTTTTATGCTTTCAACTAGAGTTATTACATCGCTTGCAGTCATTGATCCATGTACTTGGGTAACACGTGTTGCATCTTTTGTTAATTTTGGCTTTATCTTTTTGGTTGTCATAAAACCAGGTATTTCTTCCAGCTGAATGCTCTTTTCATGAAGTTCATCAATCAACTCCATCGCTTGTTCAAATTTTGATTTCCAATAATTTGCTGAACCACGTCTTTTATCCGGCGAAGAAATTAGTGGAGAAGTCTGTTTTTCTGGTTCAATACAGTTTTCTGCTCGTTCGAATTTGTCTTTTTGCATAAAATCAACACTCAATGCATTTTCGGCAACACCAACCCTTTTAGCAGATTTTACAAGCGTTTCTTTGGTTGTCCACTTGTCCCATATATTAGCTAAAACTAACATAAAAGCTTTTTTGTTTAAGGAACAGATATCAGAAAACATAGAGTCTTTTTGCTTACGATACTCACTATGAATGTTCTTGTTTACTTGGTCAAGAAGTTGAGTAACTCCTGTTGTGTCTGGTGGAGTAAGAAAAAGATGAATTCTTTTGGACTCCAAAAAAAATAATACATCAAAGTCTAGTCTAGAGCTATGTCCATCTGATAATAAGACGATGGGTCGCTTAACATTTTTTTGATTTAAGTAGACATCAAACTCTTTCAATGCTGCCAAGAAAGATTCATGGGTTGATACTCCATTATCTGTAGTTGTGACCAACAAATGGGGAATTTTATTTACTGCTTCTGTTGGAACCATAGAACTAGTAATACCAGTACATTTAAATATTACCTGACACATACATATGTCGCTTAAAAATAAAAAATAAAAAAGTTTTTTAATGCTTGTATTTATTTATATTCAATTTTTTCTTGAACCATAACATATTATAGCATACCTGAAAATGAAACAAATGGTTGAATTGTGACACATTCTCTGTTTTCTCTATACATTCTTTGACATGCATCTCCTTTGCCAGCATAAAATAATCCAGAAGTGGTACCATCAATTCCATAATTAATAAACTGGGGTGTTTCATCACAATTAAATATTCGGCATGTATCAACAGTGCCATTCCAAACCCCTGTTTCAATCATTTTTTCATTTATCATAATACCAACATCTACTAGTTCTTTAGCAAGGGAATCTGAAATAATGTTATTATAGGGAAATGAACAAATTAAAAAAAAAAAGTACATTCAGATTTATGAATTTATATTTGTTCATTAATAACTTACCTAAATGATTACATGCCATTTCTCTTGAACAATTAAGTGCACGGTTTATCGAGACACTCCCTTGGCGTTTGATTGTAAGGCTGCTATGTTTAGCATTAAAACGAAGCCAAAATGATCAACTCAATCTATAAAATGGAATATTTACATAAAGAAAAGAGTCATATTACCCGTCTTACATACTTTTATAGGATCATTGTAGATTAAATGAATTCAATTAAACTTACTTTCCCTTTTCTAGAGCAGCTCGAGCATTTAATGATAACTTTTGAAACTTCCGTCCACCTTTCATTTTTGTATTAGTGTAATCTCTCACACGAAGCACATTAATAATTAATTTGGTTATGTCCTGTTTGTTAATTGCCTGTAAACATCTGTTCTTATTTTTTATAAAACGCACAATAGATGCTTCTTCATCATCTGTAAGTATAGTACAATAATCTCTTTCTTTTCCATTAACCACTTTTCCATCTAATCGCCTGTTGATTGTCTCTCTATCTTTAATAAGGGGAAACAAACCTGTCTTTAATGCTGCTTGTCCCCTTCCATTAAATTTTTTGCACCAATTTATTGCAGCTTCTAACTGTTTATTTTTATCATTTGTGTGTTTTCTGACCACTATGGCATCAGCTTTAGTACTGAGATTTCTTGATTTGTTTATACGTAGATGTAATGCAGATGATGGTTTCATTTTACTTTATAATATTATATTAAACAAAATTCTAAAACAACAAAAAACATAACATAGTTCAATGGTAGTATTTCCACAATACATTAACTTTTTTTTTTTTTTTTTTTTATGATGACAAAGAGCTACTATCTTAGAGTACATCCTAAAATTTTTTTATTGAATTATTTTATATATTTTCTAAAATATTCAAATAACCAACGTGGTTTTTGGGGTGCACATGATGTGGTTTTTGTGGTACATTGAAGTACATCCTAAAAATTTAAGTTAGCAATGATACAATCATCCTAAAACTAATTTATTATAACTATCTTCTACAAAAAATCAGGTCTTAATTCCAAATAGTTTAGATTTTATAGCCAATTTTGTCAATGTTGTTTTTGGGGTGCATGAAAAAAAGTGTGGTTAACTTCAACATTCTAGAAAAAGAAATCAAGCGAGACTTAAAAAACCATACCTACCAGGAAGAACCCTATTTAGGCTTATCTTTCAGAACCCATATTAACAAAATTATGATCTGTCCCTAGAAAATAAATCTAGACCCTCCTACTTTCGCGTGGCTTTTGGGGTGCAACCACCTGTAGGGACGACAATTAAACATATTTAAAAAGCTACGTGATTCCATATTAGTAGGATTGTTATAGAAAAGTATATTATAAAAGTATTTTTAAAAAGTATATTTAAAAAAAAGTGTATTAAATAGAAAACAGATTTTTAAAAACTACCTAATTTTGTAAGCATTTTGCCAATGGTTTTCAATTTTGAAAGCAATATCTTTAATGGAAAGCCGACTTGTTTAACTAATCTCATTCAAAGAATAAAATTATTAACACTTAAAGATAAAGAAAAAAAAATGAATGAGATATAAACAATCGTACTATAGTATTATTTAGATAAGTAGATATAAATGAAAAAAAAAAACAACAACTGGAAAACAGTATACCTGCTTTTGGTAACCTATTGTGATACTGCAGCAGTTGCTGTAGGGATGCAGCTGTTCTTTTTGGTGTTGTTAAAAAACTTAATTTTTATGTTTGGTTTTAGTAAACTTTAGTTTAATTTAAAAGACATCACAACGGATTTAAAATACTCGTAATAAAAAAAGCAAAACATAAAATGCTTCAAGGAGCCAAACTATAAACATAAAAGATGAAGAATCGAATCGAGATAAATAAATTGTATTTATATAGCTAAATATATTGCCTTGGGTTTTGGTAAATTTTAAAAGCAGTGAGTTCAATAAATGAAACATACCAAATAATTGTTTTTAACAAAAGAATGCAGCATCATTATATTATGATAATTGGATAATGAATCAATTCAAATTTCGACTTTAGATTTTAGGAAGGGTTATTTAAATGGGCTTTAAATTTGAAGTCAGGTTTAATTGGTGAGAAAACAATTAAAATTTTTATTAAAAAAGATTAAAACAAATCAAATATACAACATAATATATATTTAAAAAAAATTACAAAATTAAAATTAATTACAAAATTAAAAAAAAAAACACCGAAGAAAAAGCAGCAACCAAAAAGTCGTAAATATCTCTACAGATAAAAGACATTTACCACCTTTTGGTTGCTGTTTTTTCTTCGGTGTCTCCTAACACCCTGGTATGGATGAGCCCTCCATTTAAAGGAGGGCTCATCCATTCCGCCATTATCTTTCCATTTGTTGAAGGCGACGATTAACACTATCTCGATCGAGCCTATTTCTTTCGTTTTGGCGACGATTAATGTTTTCTCGATTAAGCCTATTTCTTTCATTTTGTAAATGACTAATTTCATCTCGCCTAAGTCTATTTGTTTCATTTCGTCTACGACTATTTTCAACATGCCTTATAGCACTTACATCATTTTGTAAATACATAACTTCATCTAGCCTATCATTCATTTCAATGTCATCATTTTGATTAAACATATTTATCAAAGCAACACATTATTTCTATTTTTAACTACTCTAAAGTTAACAATAAAAAAAAAAACTTAATAAATAACTAAAAAAATCTTACTCAAAAAAAAAAAAAAAATATTCTCAAAACAAATATATAAAGAATCCAAACTAATGCAAAATAAAATTAATTTGCCATCATCAAAAGTAATACAGGTTTCTTAAGTTTATTTGATAGAAGTTAAGAAAAACCTGCAACCATATTAGCAAAAACTTAATACAAAAAGTTAAAATTTATTCTGTTTCTAATAAAGAAAAAAAAATTTAGAAACAAACAACATATCTTCGCAGACAGCGTCATAAGGCATGCGTTGGGAGAAAACATTGAACAAAACGGGTAATAAAACTTATTAACGCGTTATGTACAATAGAAAACGGGTTATTAACGCAGGTTTATAAATTTTTTTTCCCCAACACACTATTACGCTGCCGCAACTCCGAGGATATACATAGTTATGGTTCGGTGTCTTTAAAGCGAAACTTTTAAGAGCGAAAGTTTTGAAAGCGAAAGGTCGGGAAAGCGAAAAAGTTAAAAGCGAATGCGATTGGTTAAGCGAGAAAATTTTTTTAACAACATTAGTAACATCTTAAATTAAGATGTTATTAAGATTTAATAACATCTTAATAACATTGGTAACATCTTAATAACATTTTAATAACATTGGTAACATTATTATTTTTATATAAATACATATGAGTTAACCTATTATTCTTTTTCATTGAATTGTGTCATCTTAAAGTTGTTACAATTGAAGTGAGTCAATTTCAGAAATAAGTTCATGAAGTTTATTATAAACTTTAAAAGTTTATACTTTATAGAAAATTGAGTAGGGCAAAATTGAATTGTTTAGAATTTTGCTCCAAAACAAAGCGTAAAAGTTAAGTGTGTATACCAATTATAATAGGGAAAATTAGTTGTTTTCGCATAAAAAATTTAGTTAGTTAGAAGTAGTTCTCTTTTATGTGCCAGCATATCGGCCAGTTATATTTACTGTTTAATTATCTGCAAGGCAAAGTGAGTATTTTAATATTTTTGTTTAAAATAATTTTAATAATTGTTATCAGACATTCACTTTAGAAATATGAATTATAGCTTAAACTTTAGGCTTTTAAGTTAAAGCCTGTGTCAAAAATGACTTTTATATGTTGTATTTAAATATGACTTAATGACATTATTTATATGACAAAAATGGCTTTTATATGGTGCATTTGCCTGAAATTTGACTTATAGTCTATTAGTCAAAAATCACAATATAAGTCTCTATAATAAAGATACTTATATTGTGACCATTATGTATGGCATTATCTTGATCGATGTTGTTACACTTGGAATATGTTGTTTCAACTTTTAGGTATTTTATTTTGCTACAATTTTTTTATGATGTTGTTTTGATTTGATTTGTTCTGTAAACAGAAAGCTGTACAGTGTCCTTTTTTTTCCCACCTGTTGAATTTCAGCAACATTTTTGTCAAAATTATTTATAGTTCATTTTACAAGAGGTAGTAGAAGATTATTTTATTTTTAACTACTTTCTTATTTTGTAATGTGGTTTTTTTTTTAGAACAACTTAAGAGTATGATTTAATAACTGTGTGAATCTTCTTGGTTGATGCCTAAAAGATTTTTTGAAGGCAGTTCTACATTTTATTGAAATATAAAAACATGCCAATATCCCAAAAATTATTCTGCGTAATGTTTTTTGGATTGTTTGCATGTAAAATTAAAAATTCAGTTATTAATTGTGAAAAAGACTAATTGGCTAATTAGTTTAAAAAGTTTCAATGGTGATGATTGATTGGTGAGAAACTTATTTACTTTTTATGTTTTAATTACATGATTTGTAAATATTTATGATATGAATTGTTTGTGATCTCAGTATAGTAAAGTTTTTATTTCTACATTTGTATTACTTAGCACAAATATTTTATAATTTTGTCTACAGATTGGTTTGTAATAGCCTTAATTATCTTATTTACTTAATGTTCAGTATACTGTTATGTTGTTTTTAAACTAGATAAAATAGTTTTCAAATGAAAATGACTGCTGGCTCTATATGAATCTAATTTAAGTTTACTTCTTTGGGAATTTTATATCATATATTAAGTTTATTGTATTGGTAACTTTTTTATTACTAAAAAAAGAATTTTGTTACACAAAAAAAAGTGTAAAATGCATAACATCCCAGCTATTACAATATATTGGAGGGCATTTATTGGAAATGTTTTTTTTTTAACATTTTCATTTCCAACAAGACTGCAAGCACCTACTATTAGAGAAAAGATGAAATTTATAGAGTAAAATAACAACTAACAGAATTAAGTTTCACGAAAAAACAGATTAGAACTTTTTAGGCACTTAGGAACAGTCATATTAAAGGATTAGCCTTTATTGAATGATGAGTAACACAATAGTGAGTTTTAGTAGATGATACAAGAGACGCTAGCTCTTTAGAGCAGTGTCCATAATTGTATTTATAAAAAATAA